TATATATATATATATATATATATATATATATATATATATATATATTATAGTTGTAGTTTTCCTTCTTCTAGTTAGACGAGCCACCATCAGAGAGTTTGTTTTTTCTTTGTTCTTCCTCTTAAGTTATCGCTGGGGCTCGACACACCCAGCCACATAGAAGGATATCATCATAAACACGAAGATGTGTCGCGATACTCTTACATCAATTTCATTAGAGTCTAGGGGTCGGCAAACTGTGGCACGCGTGCCAGACGTGGCACGCAGAGCAATTTTTAATGACACGCGGAAGAACGATTTTTAAAAAAAATATGAAAATATGACTTTTTTAAGATTGGTCTTATCTGGTAGGCGTTTGGGGGAATGACTTTGAAATCCGACTCTGGCAAATATTCATCCTCATGTCCCTTAGTCCTTGGACCGTTGGGGCGCCACAGATGACATGTGAACCATCCTCCTCCATTCCTCTCTGTCTTCAGCACTACGCACTGCATCGCCTAGTGTTAGTCCTGTCCACTCTTTGATGTTATCCTCCCATATTTTTCTTTGTCTTCCTCTTCTTCTCCCTCCTCTTGTGGTGCCCTGCAATATTTCTTTGGCAAGCCCTTGTTACGTGGCCGTACCATTGTAATTTGCGTTTTTTCACAGTCACCAGTAGGTCATCGTACTACCCAATTGCCTGGCGAACCCTTTCTTTCACTGTATCATTGGAGATATGGTCCCTATAGCATTTAATCTCCATCGCCTTATTTTCCTTTCAAGATCGGCTGTTAATGTCCAGGATTCGCAGGCATACAGGAAAAGGGAGAGGATTAATGAGCGCATCAGCCTGATTTAGGTGCTGGGGGCTATATTTTTGTCATTCCATATTTTCTTGAGCTTTTTTAGTGCTGTTGTAGTCTGCGCAATCCTAGACATCACCCAAAAAAAAGAAAAAAAATGATTTCCGAAGCCGTTTAAAGAAAATTGTTAGCATATTAGACCACCGCTTGCATAATTATTCGGTCATTTTCGACGGGTGCGAACTACAGGATGAACCAAAAGTTTTAATCACGTTTTTGAACTTTTTTTTTTTCAATATTTAGTTTAATTTTTTGTTCTGTTACTCAATTTTATTACAATTTTTTTTTTTCTGTCGAACTCACGAAGGCTTTTATTCGACACCTTGTCGTGCTGTTTTGTTTCGTGTGTCTTCAGGTTTTCCCTAACCCTGACCCTGTGTCCTAAATTTCTTATTAATTAATTTGACAAGATTCCGTTACAAACACGACAGCTACAGGCCCTGTATTCCAGACCGCGTGCGTTAACAAGTCAGATAACAAACCTGTGTGATTGTTGTCTTGTTTAAAGCCATTGCCCAGATATATCGTGAATTGGTTGTTGTGGTTTTAAGCTCGAAGTCAGACTCGTACCCCACTGATGTAGAAATTGGGGGGGGGGCGGAGGGGGAGGGAGGGCGGAGTCAGACTCGTACCCCACTGATGTAGAAATTGGGGGGGGGGCGGAGGGGGAGGGAGGGCGGGGCGGGCCACTCAAGGGACCTCTTTTTACGGCGGCATTGCCAATCCACTTCTTGTACCTTCTCACTTTAGTTAGCCAACTGCATATGTGACGTCTGTACTGTAATGCATTTTTGATTTTGTTAATTGGGCGGGGGGGGGGGCAAAATTAAGTAACGCCCCGGGTGTTACAAGCTCAAGCTACTCCACTGTTGTACACCCATTTTAAAACTTATTCATACTTTGATGAGGCCCGGGGAAGGGGGGGGGGGGCTGATCGCTCGTTATGGCCCCGGCTAACACATTGGCAACAAACTCCATTCTACCCCTACTCTATTTTGAGCGCCCCCACGATCAATGTATTGATCATTCTGGCTCCCATTTTTTATATTAACTTCGCTTTTGTGGGTGGCTGGCTGACTAACTGGTTGTGTGGAAATTTTCCTCAGACGCCTAATTGGCCCACTTCCCGTCACAAATTGGGATTCTTATCAAGTGCGTTGAATATGTTGTTGTTTTTTCCCTTCCAATTTCCAGCCCTGCCACCTATTGCTCCATGTTACATTTCACAAAGTAGTTATAAGAAAAACTTTGTTTTTAGGGGTTCTTCCATTAGATTATTGACGTCATTTGAGACTCATCCTTCCCCCATATGGACATGCATTTAGTTTATACACATTTCGGTGACTCTTTAGGGCCAGGCCAAATTTGTAGTAGAAATCAACTTGGCTGTGCCATGCAAAGTGCAATAGGCCAACTCGGCCTCTCTCCATCCCCTGCCCATCAACAACAATTTAATTTGATTTCATTTTTTTTCTTTTCTTTTTTTTTTTTTTTTTTTTTTTTTTTTAAATTTTTTGTGTTAAATTTACAACGTGATACCTGCCCAAATAATACCACTTCAATATCACCAGGTTCCGACAGCATTGTCTCCGATCTGAGCAGCATCGCCAACACCGACAAGTGCGTGGACACCAGCGACCTGCTCCTCAACTACGCGCACGTCGTCAACGCCATGAGGCAGCACCACGATCACCAGAAGAGAGTCGGCCACCACGGCAAGAAGAGCCTGAAACGACCCCTGGCCGCAGACGACTTTGGCGGGTCGCAGGGCAGCGACGACACCTCGAGGAAGGACCCCCGCGGCTCCGAGGATTCTCAGACGATCGACGAAGGCGTCGCGCCCCGCGAGTTGCAGGACCAACTGGGCGAGCCCGAAGGGGAGTAAGTGACGCGTGATCGCGGGGGGGGGGGCGGGGGAGGGCAGACGGGGAAGCTGCGTTCCAGGGGGGTCGGGGGGGGGGGGGGGGGCTTAGTGGGTACCGTTTATCGACGGCCGGCAACCGGGGTAAAGGCGGTGCTAAGATATACGTTATGAAGATCTGGAAAAGCTTTACACACATTGATGCAAGGACATGGGGCGACAAGGAGTTTTCACACGTATTACAAATATTGATGCATTGTTTAAAGAAAAAAATACACTGCGAACACACTGCCACCACTGAACTGGACTGCCCCCCACCCCAGAAATAAATTGTGCACATAATTAGTCCCCCCACCCCCACCCCTGGGGCCAAACCATTATAATATTCTACTCCTATTTCTTGCAACACATCATCAAATCATTATACGGGTGAATGATAAGCTGCCTAGTTGCCTATGAACGAATGCATCTATACAACAACAACAACAACAACAACAACAACAACAACAAATGACTAATTTTGTTGTTTTTTAAATGATCGTTTGCTAAGAAGTTTAAAACAAAAGCTCCCTTGACAAACGCCGGCGAGGGGGCCGTCCATTTAGGACATACGCCATGAGGGGGATGGGGGCCATCCATTTAGGACATACGCCATGATGGGGATGGGGGACATCCATTTAGGACATACGCCATGATGGGGATAGGGGCCGTCCATTTAGGACATACGCCATGAGACGGGTGGGGGCGATCCATTTAGGACATACGCCATGATGGGGATGGGGGCCATCCATTTAGGACATACGCCATGAGGGGGATGGGGGCCATCCATTTAGGACATACGCCATGAGGGGGACGGGGGTTGTCTATTTCGGAGATTTAGCATACGCCTCCATGCGGGTGGGGGGGTTGGTCTCGGCAGAAAGTACGTACATTTATTCCAAAATTCTACAGTAATCATCCTGAAATTCTGACGGTCCAAAAATTGCATGTTTATATCTCGTCGAAACATGTAAAAATATCACACAATGTGTTTTAGGAATTATCGTCCTAATGTGTTTTCACAAATGAACTCGCTACATATCCCTCAAATATTACTCAGCAGTAGCAATATCACAGTAACATTTCGCCCACGTCCCTTCAACGTGTGTGACGTATCCACACACCAGTGGTTCCCACAATTGTTCGATTCCGAGCGACTATTCTAAATGCAGGCTTTGTTAAATTATAAAAAATACAATTCTTACTAAAGATTTTTTTTTTTTTAAACATGATAAAATAAATTTGTGCGCAAAAATCTAGTAACTGCAAACAATAGTAACTCAAGTGTTCGCACCACGACCGCTAGATTGGATTCAAAGTAAAAGTGGAAATAAAATTATGAAAAGTGTCATATTTCGCGGCGCCTCTGTGAGGAAGTTAAAGCAACAAAGGGCAGGGGGTGGGGGTGCAGAGAAAATCTGGCCGCCAGGGCGAAGCCGAAAAAATGGTGTCAATATATAGCAAAAATGCCCCCTTCCCCCGGGGCGGACTAATAAATAGACGATATTTGGCGCCCCTTGTCTTTCCGATGTAATGTGACGCATGGGATTTTATATTTTAATTCACCACTAACATCTTATCTGAAAACAATTTTGCCCCCCCTCCCCCTTTTGTGATGTTGGCGCTCGGAGTTATTTGCCCTCTTTGCCCCCTTCTCGTGGCACCAAACGCGACGTGGCTTATACCTTGAGAACCACTGGGCTGGCCAAACAGTCAGCGGTGTAAACCTATGGCACAATTTTTAAAAACAAATTGCTTTGACGTCACAATTATTTAAAAATTATTTGATTTCGTTGGTGGGTTTTTTTTTAGTGGGAGCGGGGAGGGGGGAGGGGGGGGGCAAAGTTTTCTTGTACGTTTACATTTGGGGTGAGGGGTGCGTTCCAAAAAGTACGAGTGAACCAGGGGTGGTGGGGGGCCGAATTTTTTAAAACTTTTTTTCGTACGTACTAAATGGATGGCGCCTTATAAGAGATCGGTAAACTGCCACCACCAACTTCTTACTAACAATAATAAACCGTCGTTCTTTGCACCGACGTGGTAATGAGACTGACAAGGGTTTCGGTGATACTAGATTTAAGAAGTGTTTACAAAATTGACGATATAAAACAAAAACTTAAACTGTGTTTGAAACGAAGGAGACACCCAAAATTCATAAAAGAAAAATAATAATAATTTGTTTTTGGGGGGAAATAACTACACTAAATCAGTCCTCATTTGGCGAGACGAGCATTTCATATTAGAGAGATTCGGTTATGGGGGAGGGAGTGGGGAAGGGGAGGAGTTCCAATTTGAACATTTTTTTTCGATTGGATGTTACACCTAGTTCAAATGTATAGTTGAGTGTGTTACTAAATAACTTATTTTTAAAACCAGGCGATGACATCATTGACGACGAGAGAATCTTAATCAGGGGGGACTTAACTTGCGCAAAAAGTGCAGGGAGAGTTGCCACGTGGTGAGGAGATTTGGCGTTACTCCGCTTGTATGTAGGTCATGACATTGACCCACTAGATAACTGCAGCTTGACCATTACACAAACCAACATCACCGAAAACAAAACAAAAACAACACCCGCTGTGTAAGTGTAAGACTTCCATAGTCGGACTCTACCATAACATAATATTATATTTATTTGCTTCATGAGAGGCTCGTGTATCTGTGCTTGCACATTATCTTTACCACTACACAAAAAAAATCCACACAAAAATATGGGACTCGCCTATGCGCAACCTGATTTTTTTTTTTTGAGTGGGCAACACAACAGTGTTTGATAGCCGCCCCTTGGTAAATGAACTGCACCAATCCTGAAACGGGAATATCCGGTCTAACGTACAAAGTTAATTTTCAATAAGTATATCTCTTTTCAACTCGACTAGGCGTAAAGCATTTATACATCAAAATCTACTCTTAAACATGACAAAGAAACGCCGCTTTATTTTAACTCAGAGTTTTCACAGTCACTGAGAGAGCTTGTCACAGTCACTGAGAGAGCTCGTCACAGTCACTGAGAGAGCTCGTCACAGTCACTGAGAGAGCTCGTCACTGAGAGAGCTCGTCACAGTCACTGAGAGAGCTCGTCACAGTCACTGAGAGAGCTTGTCACAGTCACTGAGAGAGCTTGTCACAGTCACTGAGAGAGCTCGTCACAGTCACTGAGAGAGCTCGTCACTGAGAGAGCTCGTCACAGTCACTGAGAGAGCTCGTCACAGTCACTGAGAGAGCTCGTCACAGTCACTGAGAGAGCTCGTCACTGAGAGAGCTCGTCACAGTCACTGAGAGAGCTCGTCACAGTCACTGAGAGAGCTCGTCACAGTCACTGAGAGAGCTTGTCACAGTCACTGAGAGAGCTCGTCACAGTCACTGAGAGAGCTCGTCACAGTCACCGAGAGAGCTTGTCACAGTCACCGAGAGAGCTTGTCACAGTCACTGAGAGAGCTCGTCACAGTCACTGAGAGAGCTCGTCACAGTCACTGAGAGAGCTTGTCACAGTCACTGAGAGAGCTTGTCACAGTCACTGAGAGAGCTTGTCACAGTCACTGAGAGAGCTTGTCACAGTCACTGAGAGAGCTTGTCACAGTCACTGAGAGAGCTTGTCACAGTCACTGAGAGAGCTCGTCACTGAGAGAGCTCGTCACAGTCACTGAGAGCACGTCACAGTCACTGAGAGAGCTTGTCACAGTCAATGAGAGAGCTCGTCACAGTCACTGAGAGCACGTCACAGTCAGTGAGAGAGCTTGTCACAGTCACTGAGAGCGCTCGTCACTGAGAGAGCTCGTCACAGTCACTGAGAGCGCCCGTCACAGTCACTGAGAGAGCTTGTCACAGTCACAGAGTGAGACTGAGAGAGCGAAGAAAAATTCCTTTATGAAATGCTTTGGTCACTCAGAGAGTCGACGACCCCTACCTAGTACCTAGGTATAATTCACTAATCCATTTTGTCCCACTTGCACGGCAATAAACAACCCTATTGAAAAGTATACACTTATGTAAGCACGAGTCAAATTTCTGGTCTTGCCATCAAGCAAGGAAACATCATTTAAAAACTTTCACAGACATCTTCAAAAGCTTTCAAACGTACAGTACAACTAAACAAAATTCAATGACCTTCATATTTAAAAAAAAAATAATAATAACATTTACAACCACAAACTAATGACCAATGTATCGTCTTACAAACGTAACAACAGAAAATAAAATGTACATGTTTGAATGAAAACCCCAAAGACTTGATCAATTTTTTTAAATATTTTTTAAAATATTTTATGTCCGTGTCTAGTTATATTATTTATTTTTATTTTTTTTTAGTTCTTTGACTTGTCTTCTAGGCCTAGCGGTAAACGGTTGAATGCATTTTCTATTACATGGTTTTTGTTGTTGTTGTTTTGTTGTTTTTTAATCCGACTTGGAACCAGATGCAGGCGCTCCAATCACACACCAGATCGTTACAGAGAAAAGAGTTGGGGGGGGGGGGGGAGCGACGACATCTTTGCTCAACATTAAGTCCCTAACAATGCTAATGTCTTCTACAATTTCAAACTTTCACCAAGAGGATGATTCATTTGATATTTAAAGGCATTTTTTTTTCTTTCTTTTGTTGTTGTTTTGTTGGGTTTTTTTTTATCGAATTCTATAAATAAATAAAAAATTTCTGTACTGTAACCCCTTAATTTACTTTAAACTGTAAGGCTGAAATACACGAAATGCCCAAAGCGTGCAGTTGATTACTATAATTTTGTTTTTCTTTGTTCTTTCTTTTTAATGTCTGCTGAATAACTCCTCATTTCCCAATTTACCCAAACAAAAATACATACTTAAATCGATCAAGCAAATAATATGTAGTTTTTCTGTATTTATGAGGTACCCCCCTTTCCAATAAATGTTCTAGTCCATGTACGCCGTACCGCTATACTTTTTTTAACATTTTTTTTTATTTTAAAGGCATTTTGTTTTTTTTATTGACATGTGACGTGATCAATCCATTT